TTTTTTTTTTTGGGTTATAGATGAATGGTCATCACAAAAAAAAAAAAGAGAGAAGAAGAAGATAGGTAGCCCCATCGACATCCTATCATCTAAAAAATCACCCTTAAGCTACAGGCCAAATGACCTCGTCAGGTCACTCAATTCTCAAATTGCAAAACGGAAAAGATCAATTTTAATGAACTGCCTGTTTTGAAGCGGTTTTCACCTTTGCAGTCACAGATGCAGATCCCAGGACTCGATCCCTAGATCTTACCTTACCCGTGTACAGTATCACGTCGACCCTGTGTGTCTTGAACCCGTGACCTGTGTGCTAGTAGTTGAGGGTTGTTTGTCATAGGTCTGAGTAGTTGTCGGGTCTTGAACCCTGGACCGGTCGAAGTAGGGGTCATACCTGCATAGGGGGCATAGTTGTTGTAGTTCTGAAAGGTCAAGGTCGTGGCTGCCACAGTCCTGAACGGTCAAGGTCGTAGCTGCTACAGTCCCAAAGGCCAAGTCCGCAAACTTCCGGAAGGTCCAAAAGTGGCCTTTCGAGAGTTTGAACGTTTGGCCAGAGGCATGTGAGCAAGTAGCCAGTCCAACTTTGTCTAGTCAGCGATACCCAGTCCCAGTCTTACTTTGTCCAGTCAGCAAGTACCATGTGGGACTGTGTGCACCATGGGCCCGGTGGAAAGAGGCAGACCAGCGGCCTACAGAAGTATAAATCAAGAGGCAGCGTTCAGCTATTCATTCATTCCTGCGTGAGCCATGCGGAAGCGCTGCCCTAGCGTCTTGTGCGAGGTGGTCTGCAGATGCCTGTAGTCGAAGTGGGCTGAGGGAGGAGTGGAGCAGCCATTGCTGCCAGTAGCTGAGGTAGACGGCGGCCATAGCTGCCATAGCTAGCGATAGGTAGAGTGTGTGTATGTACGTGTGTGTGTGTGATACAGTGTGAGTGTGCACGGGATATCCAGGGAGATCGAGAGTCGAGTGCGTGTGAACAGTTGCGCGAATACAGTGTCGGACAGATGTTGTGTGGGCGCTCATGCGCCATAGCCAATTGGAAGCGAGTTTGTGTCTGAGCTGTATTCTGGACCATATTATCTCTAAGCTTTGTGTGGGCGCCTGGCGCCAGTGTCTCACCATCTGTTTGCATGCATGCGAAGTAAGAAGAAACAAGTCTGATTGAAATTGGTATCGGAGCTGGTTCCCACTATTCCACGCGCCATAGCAGAGGTGCGCCGAAGAAGAAGAGAACGCCATAGCCGCCCTGCGGAAGGAGGTGCCGCATACCTGCAAGGAAGACAACGACGAGAGAGAGAGAGAGAGAGAGAGAGAGAGAGAGAGAGAGAGAGAGAGAGAGAGAGAGAGAGAGAGAGAGAGAGAGAGAGAGGAGCGATAAAAGATTGGTTGTGTGGTCCAAGGAAGGAGGTGGCGGCCATAGCCACCGAGCTCGGACATGGAGTCAAGGAAGAAGAAAGAAGATCGAGTAAGGAGGAAGGGAGAGACGACGGAGAGAGAAGCCATAGCCGAGGAAGAGAAAGGAGAGACGAAGAAGGAGAGACAAGCCATAGCCGGGGTGAAGGAAGAACGAAGTGAGAAAGAAGGGAGGGAGAAGGAGAAAAGGGGTCGGCAGCCATAGCCGAGTAGGGCGTTGACCAGGGTTTTGACCGAAGTTGACCGAGGCGTTGACGAGGGTGTTGACCGGGGTTGACCGGGTTTGACCGAGGTGTTCACCGAAGTTGACCGGCGTTGATCAAGGTGTTGACCACGAAGTTGACCAGCATTGACCAGCATTGACCGGTGTTGTTGACCATGAATTTGACCAAGCTGGAGTTGGTATATTCTCGCCAAGCCTTCAGCCTATCCCCTCGCCCTATGGATGTGCACTCACCCCATGATACTTGCTGAGTATGTATGTCTCTTCTTTCTGCATTGAGTCTCTTCTGTCCAGGTGATAGGAACTCCGTGTATGAGGTCGTAGAGCTGCGTTGACCAAAGCCACACGGGATGAGTACGGCTTAAGTCCATGTCTGACGACTGACTGACCCCGAGGACAAACCCTCCCAAGGACCGGTAAAGACCGGCGGGCTGCTCGGTGTGGCATGGCAGGCCCAAAATCTGAGTTGTGGGCTGCACAACCAGCTGTCTAAGTCTTGAGAGGACTTGCTGATTGTGTCGTCCTATCTGCGACGTTAAACAATTCATGAGGAGTTACGGGGTATCTCCTTAAATGCT